GACCCTTACCATAGTTCTTGCCTCATGCCCCATTATTAATTTGTAAGGGTGGTTTCAATACCTTCTCAGAAGCTCATGGGACATTCATGGAAATTGTTCATATTGTGCTACAATGGGACTTCAATAATTCATGAAATAGATACAATACAAACAAAATTCTGTGATTACAATGCTAGCTAATAAAACATTAATAACATAGGGGAGAAAAATAATTTTTTCTCTATCTTGTGGGTTCTCAGTTGGAACGGACCCTTATATAAAACAAAAAGAGATGAACAAGAGAAAAATAACATAGGTATATTAGCGTGTAAACACAAGAGATACCCAGGAAAGGAGCAAATCTCAGAGGGGTGGCTCTGAGTTCAGGCTTATGTACTACAGACCGCAGAACAAAAAAAGAAGGGTTCAGGGAAGGCCCGTTATGGAGAAATTCCTGGGGGAAAAGCTTAGTAAACAAGGGTCAGGTGCCTTACGCAGAATTTAAGTCCAGTCCACGCCTTCTCCATTGATGAAGAGTCTCTTCCTAGTACTGAGAGGGAGACACTCTTATAAATGGAGATTTCCTTTATAGATATAAATTTCTTCTACAAAAGGGTATCTTTTACTCTCCTATGGGAGCTCTCCTATGTCTGCAGTTTCTCAAAATAGTCAGCTCAAAATAATCATTATGCAAAAGAGACATATTTTGATCTCTTACAGTCATATTTTAGGGTGGCATATTCTGGTCTCCTACAAAAACAAACATTTCACAAAGTCCTTCAACTTGGAAATTAAAAATATCTCTAACAAACAGGCTCGGGTTAAAGTAGAAATGGAAACCTTAACTGCAAATTTTTAAAAAAATTATGATAATGAAAACATTTATATGACTAGATTTCATAATTAAAACAGGATTGACTCACCTAGTAAAATAAGTCAGAGGAAAAATTAATAACATTATTAAATGTTTAATAAATGACATTAAATACTTGAGAATAAAAGGAATTAAATTCCCAATTCAAATAGCTAGAAAAAGAAAAACCTACTAATAAAGAAAGCATAAAAGAGAAAATAATGAAGATTAAAGCAGAAATTAACAGAACAACAAATATCAACATGCAAGTCCTTAGGAGAACAATCAAAGAAGTATACAAATCAGTATCTAACCTATGAAAAAAGTAAAAAAAAAAGCACAAATACTCAAAATAAGAAACGTCAAGGGGTAACCTGAATAAGGGCAGAAAGGTGAGCTCCATTTCTTCACCTCTCATCAGGGTGACAGCCAATACTCCTATCAGAAAAGACAAGTTAACAGGAGAAAAGCATAACACATTTACTTAATCATAGTTTTGTGTGACATGGGAAGATTTCAGAAACAAAGACTCGAAGACCAAGGGGAAACTACTAGGCTCGATGAAAAATAGCTGTATCGAATGTGGTTGAATAGTAAGGACACCATCTAATAGTTACAGACTGAGATTTGTCTATTTTCAGATTTGTCTATTCTCTGGCCTCTCTGGGTAGTGTTGCTGCCCAGTCAGGTTCATCTGTCCACTGCCCAATAGGAAGACAATACCCCGAGGCAGCAGGGTTTACATCAGAGACCAAGTTTATTCCACAGAGCGCTCAAATCCGCCTCTCGGATAATTGGAGGGCCAGGGTATTTAAAGACAGTTTGATTTGCAAAAGATTAGACAATCAAGGGTCTGCCAGTTGGCTGGTTTCAGGGAGGAACCATCAGTCCTTTTGGTAGGTAAAAACCGAAAAGGGGCACATCAGAACACTCAAGGCCAAAGTGTAACAAAGGTTGCAATGTTTATTTTGACATTTGGGTGCAAGTGGGCTGAGATCTAAAGGAGGTTAGCAGAGTTTAGGGAGGGAGGCTGAGGGTGAGCCAGTTTCCATCAAGGACTACCAAACTGTTGGTCTCATCAGGGTGTCAAAGATGTTAACTCATTATCAGGGATTGGGCGGGAGCAAGGAGAAGCCTATAGCACATCTCTCTTATCCGTCCCTCCCCTGTAACAGTCTCACAGAATGGCTTCTTACTTCAAGGTGGGGTTAATTGGGTCAACCTAACACCTTTAGTATGGGCCACTGCCTTGGTGGGTCTGTTCCTGGAATGCAGGGCCCTGGGTAGTTCTCCTATGCCAGGGGAGTCAGTTCCTTGTCCTGGGTAAGCCAGTCAATCCACTGGAATGCAGGGCCTTGAAGATTATCTCAGAAACTACCCCCAGATTCCCACAGGTGGTGTTCTTACCTGGACAACTATGCATGGCTCTGGGTTAAAGCAGCAAACAGAGGGAACAGTGATTATTAGCAAGCAAATGAGAGGACAGTGGCTGATCGTTATAGTTATCTTAGCTAAGCCTACCCCTTAGCAGAGTTCTGGGGGCCCTTCCTTCTCACCTTGCCACCCCTACATCAGCTTGTAAGAGCAGTTTCAGAAGCATTTCTTCCCTCCCCTTGTAGAGTAGGACCTCTTCTGGAATGAGAGTCTTAGATCCAGTATCAGACAGGGTAGGGCAGAGAATTTTCTTTGTGGTTGGCTCTTTCATAGAAAGGCAAGGGAAGATCAGAATAACATTTCTAAGTTTAGGGGTAGAAAGGTTCTAGTTTCTATGACCTGCTTTGAGGAAGAGGACTTCTGGTTTCTGTGACTCAGCTGTGAGAGAATGAGGGTAGAGAAAAGAAGGCAGGAGATCTGAACAGAGAATGGGGCATAATAACAGTAAGGATTGATGAAAACAGGCTGCAGTGGGGCTGCCATTGTAACCACCCCAAACCACCTTGTTCATTCCAGTTTAGGGAGTCTGGGGGAAGCGCTGGGGCAGATGGAGGGCAGCAGAGTTCTCTGACCTCATTATACCATCATTAACATAAATTATGTTACATTAACATATCCCCACCCCCAACTGGCTTTGGCAGCCATGACACATCTGGGCCTAAACAAATAAAAGTAAAAAACTCCCCCTACCTGACAGGTGAGAGGGGATAACATTCTCATTAGTGGAGGAAACAGCAGTGCCAGAAAGAGCCTTGGCAACCTGCCTTCCTTGTTTTAGACACTCTACTCACCTTGACACAGCCCAAGATGGCACATGGTCACCGTGGCTGTGTCCCTCCGGGGGCTGTCGTGGGGCTTGCTGTTGATCAAGATCCTTTCTTTCCCATGAGCTTGCTACGCTGTGTGACATAATGTCTTATCTGGACCTGTATCACTTTTTATTTTTTAGCTGAAGTGTAAGACATTATACCCGTTTGCATTTCACATTAATTTGCCCATTTCTCTGCCTGAGATTTCTTTCAAATCTGGATTCTGTCATTTAGTATAATCATTCTCTCCCACCTTATGACATACCCATTTTTCATAAACTTGCCTTCTGTAGTTACTGTCAAGTTATTAAAATGTTGAACAGAGGGGGCCAAAAGGTAAGCTTTGGAGGACAGTAGAATTGCTCTTTCAAGTTGATCCCTGTCCTTTAATAACTGCCATTCCCGTGGTCTCACGCCTACTGATTGTATTTCTCCATTTTGCCCATAGTTCATTAAAGACCATGTCAGATTCCTTGTTATGGCCCAGGCAGTTCTAACCTATGGATCAGTTTTACAAAATAGGGAATGAATGGCGTCTGAAATGGTTTCTTTTTGAGAACCCCTTGCTGGCTTCCAATAATTGTTGCTTTCCTTCCTTTTTTTTTTTTTTAAATATAACCTTTATTACTTTTTTTATTAAGTTATATATACATAGATCATGAATACATTTATGCCTTTGTGGGATTAAATGTGTTGATTATTTGTACAAATTGGAGTGTTTACATCCCAGTAATTAACATAGCTTTCACCTCATTTACTTAATCACAGTGTTAAGACATTTGTGTTCAATACTTGATAGATTCGACTTGAACCCTTGCAATATGCTCCATAGGTGTTCCGCTCTTAAAAATACTCCCACAATTAATATCAAGTTCACTGGTCTACAGCATACCCAACTCACACTCTTTTCTAATATTAGAAGGAAACATGCCTATCTCCAGTATTTCCTATTGCTTACAATTTATCAATAAAAACTGACAGTGACGGAGCAATCTTACTGTGAATCTCACAGTCCTGTGGGATAGAATTAGATCTAGAGATGGAATATTTAGAGTTGCTTGTTGTTTCCTTGTTTCTTAATTTGCCCTGGGTTTTAGTTTCCTCTTATGAGTGTTCAGATGATCTGTAAAGTCTCTCTGGTGCTAATATTACTGGAGAGAATGTGACAAGAGACACAAAACTCCTGCCTCCAGAGGACAGGAAACTAGGCACAAGGGACTGATGTTTGCAGTTGAAATAGGGAGCTGTAGTGGGGGCCACGGGGTGTCGGGGTGTCGAAGGCTGTGCTCCCACAACGCCCCCAGAGCCTGTGTTTCTTTGAGATCTACATATCATAGCCATTTTGATCTCTGCCAGGCTGTTCTTTGTGTTTTTAAGAGGCTGTAACCGGAGACCTCATTTCAAAAAGCCCAACCCCCCAACATCAGACATCTTCTCCAATATTCAGAAGTTAAATGATTAGCATGGAATTTTATTTTTCATTTTCCAAGTCAAAAGATCTTATTGTGAACATTATATTTGGGCATGAGAACGCAAGGACACATATTTGACACAATAAAGCAGTGATTTGCATTTGGGGACAGAAATGAACTCTGTGGTCCCTTTGCTTGACGAGAAATAGGAATGTAAATGGTTCTCCAAATTGCTTCAAAAACTCCATTTGTTCCTCCCCTGCTCAAGTCCCCCTAATGAAGACAATAGGCCTCCCAATATCTACCAACATCTTTATGCAAACACATCTTCATGGGGTCCACAGTGCTAATAATTTCACTTTCTCACCACCTTACTCAATTGCTATGGCCAATTCTGTCATTGTGGGGCCCATGGCTGTCTTTCCGAGGACAAGAGCAGGGTGCTGTGTTTCTTTAATTTCTAAAGGTATTATTTCAGTGGCTTAAATAAGCAAATAAACACATTCCTCCAGATGATTGAAATTTGTTGAATTTATTTCTTTCTAAAGTACATTTACATATATCATATACATATTTTAAATCCTTCACTATTTTGCGTTATTTCTATTACATAAAAACCATTTAAATGCAATAAATTTTGTTGTGGGAAAACAACAAAATACCCCCAACTTATAAAAACATGGGAACAGTTATATTCATAAACATTTACACAATAAATGTACTATGTATCTCACAGCGGCTATACAGATCAGGGACTCACTTGTCTACAAGGTTTAGGTTTTAACAACAGTGAAATAGGGTAATATTTATGTACACCTATTTTAATAAAAAATAAAGCAATTGTAAAATGTAAACTTAATTTTCAAAATATTCTTTGAACGCTTTACCAATACCCACACAAATTACTGTTCCATTCAAAAGACAACCACCATAAATGCCGTCATCTTGTAGGAGATGGCATTTCTTGAATGTGGTGGGTGGAATAAGGAACAGGTTTCCAGGACATGATATGGTACCACTAGCTTACTCAAGTCTGCTAATGCTGACAGTTTGGCCACTGGAAAGGAGCAGGCTGCTATTTTATCACTAATTACTTTCACAATTTGCAGGGGACATATGGCACCAGGACTGCAATGAAACTGAAATGATTGGTGGGTGGAGAAAATCTTGAAGGTAAAGAAATGTTTCACGATGCCAATCAGTTTGAGCCACCGCGAATGGAACCCACTTAATAGGCTGGAAGAGTTAAAAGCTTGTTTCAAATTAAAAAATTCAAATTACTGCCCTTCTGCCAATCTTAATGGTAGTCAAGGCTGACAACGCGGATTCTCCACTTGTGTAAATTTCTGTTCTAGAAATGGGTTCCTAAAACTGGAGGTAGAGGAGACTGCAGGGAGGCATTTAAGGCCATTACCCAAACAGTTCTCATCTGGACTGAGCAGAAAGTTTAGTGATGTTACAAAATGAAACATCAGCAATCTGGGTGCAAAGGCAAAGGTATCTTCCCTCCCTGGTTGGAACTCGGTATGCTAGTTTGTTTCTTGCAAAGGCAAAATAGGTGGACTTTGCTTCAGTCAGAGTGGCTATATTGCCTTGCCAGGGTCACCTGGTTGGCACACCGGGAACCCCAGAGCCAGAGAAGGAACATTCAAACCCAGGATGTGGTTGCAGCTCAGTGGAAGCCCAAGTGGAGAGCGAGGCTGGTGGAGAAGCTCCATTGGCAGAGAGGATACAGTATCACTTTCTGCAGAGCCCAGCCAACCTCAGTCCTGCAGGGTGGTCCTTAATCAAGCCTTGTACTGGGGACTCTCCTAGGAGCCTCTGAAGAAGGGAAACTCCAAAATTCTCTCCATTAACCACCATTTTCAGGAATTGAAGTTAAGGTGTTTATTTGAATAACACTATCATTGAGAAGTTAACTCTCTGCCCTGCCAGGAGCCTTCCCATTCAGCCCTGCTGTGGTTGCTTGTGGAAATGTGTTCAACTGTTCAGCATATTCCCCAGGAGCTCTCTTACCAGTCCCCCGGGGAGGGGGGCATGAACAATCCACACCAGCGCTCCTGTGGACGGGGCCTCCCCGCTTTTCCACATGCACACCTTTCTCAGGGGAATGATCTGCAGAGCAAACGGCTCTGCCACCGTGGAAAAGGACACACACTGGCTTTCTAGAACATTAGCCAGGATACGGAGGGACGCCAAGAGGTCTGCTTATAAATTACCAGAAAGCCTTCCATTTGGTGATCCTTTAGAAAGGTATGCACCCCCCCCCCCCAATTTGTTAAACACACAGTGCATCTCAAAAAGTAAGACACTAGAGCTCAAATTCCACCCCAGCCCTTGGAAAACATCCGTGATGCACTTTCCACCCCCCTCCTTTATCCCCTCTTTGGAATACTTGGGCCCTTTGTGTCTTAAGTCTTATGTTTGCATAACTTAACACATTCACTGTGTGTGCACGTGTGCAAGCCTGTGTACACATGTCAGAGGTCCCAGACACACCACTTTCCCCCTTATACACCTAAGGGGACAGTAAACTGGCTCTGAATCTCTCGAGAGCAGAGGACTGACCACATGCATGGCTACCCCAAATGGAAAGGAACCAATTTACCATCCCCCCCAATTCAATTTGGTCTAATTACCCTTGTTCCTATAGCTTAAAAAAAAAGTATCCCAACATCATTAAAAATCAATGTGCATACATAGTCTCTATGGAGTGGATATCATTCACGTCTAATGGTTACTTGGCTTCATAACCTCCATGGCTTTATATTAAGTCCAAACATTTCAAATGATTAAGGCCCAAAATAAACATTTTATTTCTGCTACACCTTTTTCTAGATGATTTCTGAATCAAATGGCTATTTTTTGCAAATCACAATAATTCCTGGAAGGAAATATTCTTGCAAAACTAAGACCCTGCTGCTCAGTCACAGAGCCAGTCCACTGCACGTCAAGAAGAAATGAGGAAAAATGATATATTTGCAAAAATAGTTTGAGACTGTAGAGTGAATTAAAAAAAAAAAAAAGCAAAACTCAAGTGTAACTACCAACACACTACTGCAGCCTGGAGCTGAAGATTAGTCTCCCACCCCACGATTCCAATTCTCTGAATCGGATACAAAAGACATGAGGCAGTGTGTATAAACAAAAGACACTGCGCTCAACCACTCACTCAACCACACTCAGCCGTAGCTTTAAATACACCAAACATGCTGGTTAATAAAATTTAAGTCTCTAGTTATCTATTTACACTCTATAATATAAGCAATAAGCTCAAACAACTAAGGCCAGTGGCTCTTCTTTGGGGAGAGGCAGGAAAAAGAGACGGAAGTATAAAAATATTTAAAATAAAGTTTAAACCTGGTCCTAAAATTCTTTCACCTCTGACACTAGATGCTAATTTGTGCAACTGTGAACCTAGCATACAGTACCCAGTCTTGGGATGCCCTGATGTACATTAGTGCTTGTGATATTTCTTCAAAGAAAAGAGGTTAACAACGCGGCACCAGGAGGACGATTTAATCTCCTGCAAATACACACAAATACATAAATGATACGGTGGGTACTTAGTGAATTCTTCTGAAAGCTGTATGTTTCCGGACTAATTACAACAATAAAGAACGTGTGCTTTAAATTTAAAGCATCACATTTTGTAAGAAGCCCCAAATTGTCAGTTTGACTTTATGTTTAAGTGCTCTTAAGACTAAAGATACTAAGACTGTACAGGCTGCCTTTTATTTTTTTTTTCTCCTTTTCTTTCTGTATTTCCCAAATGATAAGGAGCTACGCCCTCGGTATTGCACACAGTACGCTGCAATAGATTCACAAGGTCAAGGTCAGTTCAAGGTCATTTTTTTTTTTTTTTTGCCCTGGTGATTCAAAGCTCAAAGACAGAATTTTCTAGCATAAAGTCTTATTTAAAAAAAGTCATCAAAATATCATTTGAATTTAAGTTTCATAAAACAATATCACTATATATACTCTTGACAACTCCACTGTATAATCAGTCCTATGAGGTTTTTACTTGCTTTTTTGTATCACACTGGTTATTAAGGACAAAAATAATTTTGATGTACATGTACTATATACTGGTACACAATCTACACATTGAGGCATATACACACATACAACTATAAATACCCACAAACACAACATTGGCAGGTGACAAAAAGCATTTTCTTTGACGCCTGACTATTGGTAAAGGTATTCTCCATAAACCTGTAATACTGTAGATACACACACATGTTACAAAGGATGAGCCAAGAGACTTAAGGGGACCTACTGTGTATACAATTAACTTGCAATATTTTCTTGCTGTTGCATTCAAGTCAACAAACTATCATGCAGATTCAAGTATTTACTAGCATTCTCTCTCGGAAGACATTCTCTCTACATGCAATGGGCCAGTCATTGTCCTAGGCAGAAAACTACCCACTTGCGTATTGGATACTGTAGGTGCAAAAGGAGATGACTCTGGACTTCAGTCCTCCTCTAAGGGGTGAGAGATGGAAAAGTCATCTGAGAGGAGCAGCAGTGACAACATACCTTGCTGTTGTCACCGACATCTATCCCGGGATTATTCTGTAGTGATTCCTCAAGTTCCCTGGATGAACTTGATGATGGAAGATGTCAAAAGACTGGTGGAGGGAAATCTGTGACCTGGGGCAGACCAGGGCCAGAAAGCTACCGAGCAAGCAAGGCAGGGGGCCCAGAGGCTCAGGTGCCTGCAAAACAGACTGGTCTTTTTTTGTCAGAGTAACTTAAGGTGTTTCAAAACAGAAGCAGATACTATTTAAATCCCGTGTTGCGCCATTCCTCACAAGCTCAACTCTACTTTTTAACAAGTCCTCAGATGCCACTTTGGTTCTTGGTTTTACAGTGCTAGTTTCACAATTGTAAAAGCCAAGGTGATCAGTTACTCCTGAAAACTCGACTGAGGGCACAAGAGCTCAACTACAGAGATTTGGACCTAGCAAAGCCAAGAGACTTTCTGTGAATTCAGGCTGAAACAAGCTTAAGGGATTCAAATTTCCAAGGGCAATTAACTAAACCCCAGAAGATCTGGCTAGTAAGACAATGGAGAAACTTCATTAAGGTCAATTTTCTTCCAGGAGTCAGTGTTAGGTAAAAACACCCAGAAGACGTGACAGAGCAGGCCCTGCCTTACCTAAGAACATCTTCCTGGATCTGTACATGACAAAGGACAGCAGAAAACTCCATGCCACTTTGTGCTTAGCCAGCAAAGCCTCTTTTCCCTGCTGGTTATGTCAACACTTCTTCAGTCTCAGAAGTTCTACGATTTGGTCACAGGCTGAAAGAGAAACCTAGCTTGGCCTTGGAAAGCCAACCAGATTTCCCTCTTCCATAATTAATTCCCTGTGTCATTTCTACCTAGGAACTGGTCCTCATCTTCTGGATTAGGGTAACAGCTACAAAAGCATGGAGGGTCTTGCATTTGGCATAAGCCCGTTGCATGAGAAAATGCTTCTATAACTCTCTACCTGCCAGCAACAGAAAAGGTTACAATTCAGGAGCTACACTTCCATCAGAGCTCTCTTCCCCATGTTTTACTGAGATTAGTGAAAATGCTTGAAAGTATTGCTTGGATTAATCAGACACTGCTAAGAATTGGAAAAATGATGTTTTTTTAAAAAAGTGCACTTCAGGAATGCCTATGGTCTGGCAATCAAATAAAGACTCTGCATACTAGAGATTAAGTTTTGATGGCTAACCTGGGATCTCTGACACCTCCCTGGAAAAGATTTTATATATGGGCCACTTGTATGGACAATTTTGCAACAAGACTATCTCCAAGGTATTTTGATGACTACCTAGATTGTGTATACTCAAAATTAATATTGAGCATATTTATGTAAAAAGGAATAAGGACATTTTATCACATGGATAGGAATCCTCAGGCCCTTGGGCACTAAGGAGGGGAGAGGAGAGTAGGTGAGGGCGGGAGGGAGTACCTGGAGAAGGGATGTAGATGGGGGACTCCCCTGTACCGTGAATTGGGCAGAAGGCTTAGACCAGCTCTGAAGGGAAAAATCACCAACTTCTGAGTATATACCATAGGAAAGAAATGTTTGCACATGGAATCATCACATGGGCAGCTACGGGCCAGATTCCATCATCTAGTCCAATGGGAGGCCGTTCTCGCCCTATGGCACACTCTTTGCCTGCTACATGCACCGACAATAGACAGCAACCTTTCAGAGGCTTTCTTAGCCCTATCTGGCAATCTGAGATTCTGGCTCCCAAAAGAACCTTTGAGTTGTTTTTAAAGATCCACTATGCAAACATGGTACACCCTAGCTTCAAAAGAGTCCTTCTCATCCAATAACCTATTCACATATCCAGAATAACCCAGCATTGACATTGGTGAGTCACAACAAGAACAGCGCGGTAGTGGCGCTGATGCTAGCAAGTATTTTAAGACTATGCTGAACGTCAGAAATACCGTAGCAAAGTACCATTCAATGTACATTAAATACCACAAGTAAAACATATAGCTACATTCTATATACACAGACACACACTGTGGGCAAACACATTCAAGCCAGTCAGGGAAGTTGATTTTTCTTCAATTATTGAAACTCATAGATGACGTGGTCTAGGTACCTCTCTCCCCTCTGCTTAGTAGAAAACAAATATACAGCTCATTTAGCTTAAGAAAGGCAATTTGCTTGTGGAAATCTAGGATTTACTAAGAAGCTACACAAATTAATCAGGTCCATGGTCCATCTCTGTTACCACCACGCTTGCTCTGCAGTTCTGAAACATAAATTGAGTCATTGCCTTTACCTAAATGAGATGGAGGGTTCGAGTTGTTCAAAGGTGTGGCAAAATACTTATCACAAAGCAAGCCACTGTGACCTTAGAGAGGGGTAACTCTTCTCTGGACACCAGCGAACACAGACATTTATACAAGTGAAGAAAATAAATGTTAATAAATAATTCTGTAAATAAATTCTGGTACATCGTAAAGACATACCACTTTGAAGCTGCCATGGTTTCATGGCAGGGTCTCTCTAGTTCCCTGGAACCACTCTGTGCCTGCTGAGCAGCTGGTTCTTTGGTCATCGTACCTTCAACTCATAATCCAAGTAGAACTAGAGAAAATTTCTATGGGAGGAAAGGGAATAATCAAGGTGATTCCGTTAGTTCTGAAGTTCTGCCATTTGTAGAGATGACAGCTTTAGGGATTGTGGAGTTTCCATGGTTGGAACTTGGAAAGGTCTATGTCACAGTGGGCTACATTTTGACTCCTTTCTCTTCCTCTACAAAATAATATTTGGTTTATCACCCTGGACTTCAAAGGGGATGTCATTGGAACAATCTTGGGAGGTTAATAGAATTATTTTGAGTAAATAGAAAGATATGATTTAAAATGAAGTATTTTTAGGAGAAAGGTCAACAGTAGCAAAGTGAAGTGGTTGCCAAAGAGGCTGAAGACAGGAATTAAGTCATTTTGCATATGCAACCGGTGGATCCCTCCGTCTTCCAACCACAATTCTTTCAATTACCTTCAGATTTATTATAAGGAATCCACATCCATTGCACACAACTGCAGCTACTTTTTCCTCCCTATTTTGCCTGGACTTAAGGAAAGAACAAAAGGGGTTCCATTTCCAGTATTATTTTGTTAGGAAGGAAGACCTCACTATCACTACCAGGACAAAACCCAGTTGATGCCCACACATATACATGTAGCGTAAAAAAGGGTTTATTCCAGAATAGAAGGGTATCAACAACAGAGATGATTCTGGATTCCCAGGCTAGACCCTGTGGGAGTGAGGTATCAATTCTCTGCAGACCACACATGCCCACTGCTGCAGCTCTTCAAGAGCTAAATATCACCATTATCCTTTAGGGAACAAAAGTAACCAACTATCCCTCTTTCCTCAATGTTTTCAACGGCAAAATGACTTCACTTCTTTCCCTTGCTCAGCTGAAGAGGAATCAACATTTAGGCAATCTCCTGTGTTTCCCTAAGATCTGCAGTCCTGTGGTCTTCACGCACCCTTTCCCTGCTTCCAGCAGGGTCAGAACTCAGCAATGAGTGCCGAGATGCAGGCGGAGCTGTGTCACATTGGAACATCTTCATTCCCAGTATTGCAATTCTTACTTGAGCGTCTGTGAGCGCTCAGTTCCACCTCTGTGACTGGGCAAGATTTCACATATAAAGGCTTATATTAACTCTGGCTAGAATTTACTAAACTACAGTTTGTCCAGTTAAGTGTTTCACAATGGATTCAATCGTTTAACCTTAAAAAAAAAGTGGAACAGTTGATTTGAGAATACATGAGACAACTGAGCAGAGTGCAAACAAGAGAAAACCAAAGGGGAACGGATACATAATTTACTCTGAAATCACGATCCCACCCCTCACAAAAAAGGTGCATTAGTTCTCAAGTTGCAAAAATCATCAAAGCAAATAAATCAAGAGCAAAGACAATCTGTACAGAAACTAAAAAAAAAATATACAATAGAAAAAGTTACTAATGCACCATTTTGTCACCAACTTTTTTTTTAAATATATTCACGGATTACCAGAAAGATCTTGAAAAACCCTATGTTGCTCCATGACCAGCACTTCCTGGCCGCAGATGGATTCTAAGTAACTTTTTGCTTAATGCTTGGTGTTTCAGGTCGGTGATCCTTCCTCTCTGACACGTTGCGCTTGACCTTGGCAGTGATTGGAGATGAATCTGGGTTCAGCGAAGGGCTCGAATGTGACTTCTTCAGTCCTGCGGCCTCACTTTCATCATTACTCAGGAGCTCCTTGCCTCCTTCTTTGAGAATGCTGACATAGATTTCGTAACGTGTTTTCTGAAGGCAAAGTCAGAGAAGAATGGCAGTCAGCAAACTATTCACAAACACGTGGGCGGCACGTCTAGGGTGTTAACCACCTGCACAGCCTCAATGGCTGTTGAAGACTTAACTTCATTCTCCAAACTGACAAATTACCTGGGCACCTACTGGGCACACCACAGGAGACTGACTGAGTTATTCCTTTAGGTAAGAAATTAAGTTAGAATTTGAGTTCTCATGTGTTCTAGATTCTGAAGAAATGACAACTTGGAGTTACTGGCTATTAGATAGAGGAACCATGAATTCTGAACACTCAAGCAAGATTTAAGTGAGAAGATTTGTAACCTCCAGTCTTTGGTGGCAACACAACAGTCACTGGAGCCCTGCTTGAAAGTGGCATGGTTGTTCTCTTCCTGCTCCTGTAACGCTATAACTCCTGGGCCACCTACTGGTATTGGTCTGTGGCCTGTTAGGAACCAGGCTGTACAGCAAAGCGTCATCTGTATTTATGGCCACTTTCCATCATTTGCATCACCGCCTGAACTCTGCCTCCTGTCACATCAGTGGTGGCACTGGATTCTCACAGGCAAGTGGACTCTACCATAAACTACACATGTGAGGGATCGAGGCTGCACCCACCTTATGAGACTCTAATGCCCCTTCCCCTGTCTGCCTGTCTTCTATGAAAATTGTCCCTGGTGCCAAAAAGGTTGGGGACTCAACTTGAGGGGTCATTTCATGGTGGATCTACTCTCCAGGTCCCTGTAAGACTACGACACTTTCTAGAAGCTGCTCTGGGTTTCCCTCCATTGCTTTTCTATTTTTTGAGACTATCTTCTATAGTAGTAAATTAAAAACAGATTTTATTGCTCACTTTGGGCTTAAAAATAAAGTGAGAAACTAGACCACTCTATGTGGACTCTAACAGTTCCTCATATGGACAGTTAACTAGATTTTGTTAAGTCATGAAGAGAAGGCTCTATATTTATCTTCTAAAACCATACATTAGAAGGATGAGAGGGGTACAGGTGAACCTTTCTAAGAGTAGAATGTGAACGTTTTAAAGCAATAACTGAGAAAATGACATGAAGGCTGTGTTGACCAGTTGATGGAAGTATTTCAGATTGCATGTGAAAACCCCACACTGTACCCCAGAAGTGCATTAATGTACATATTTACCATTCAATAAAAAAAAAAAAAAAAAAAGAAAGATGAGGACTTGCCAAGGGTTATCTGGATTCTACCTGTCTGATCATTCCTGCATGAAATTTGCATGTAATATATGAGGATCTCATTTATCTTTGGATATATACTTCCATACTAACCTAAGATTCTACGCTCCCTGTGTTGGAGAATATTAGCCTCATCAATATTAATATAGAAGGGGATTTGCTGTTGGTACTAAATAAATAATGACAATATTGAAGTATTATACCTCTGCTCTGACAATTTTTATGACCAGATGGTAGAAAAGGGAAGACAAAACAACAAAAGAGTATGTTTTCATTAATGTAATTAATTATAATAATTTTAATAATAATTAATATAATTTCATGCCACAAAGTAATCACTACACAAAGAATTAACATAGTCCCAGATAGGGCATATTAAAAATTAAACAGGATATTTAAAAAGGACTATGAAACACAGTCCTGTAGTCAGGCAGCCTGCTGTTGACAATGCCCTTAACTAACAAACGAGGCCTCCATTCATTCTCCTGAATCATTACTGAGTCTTCAATATGTAGCCCCTTCAGGTCTGTGTCTTTCATTAAGAAGGACAAAGAGAATTTGAGAAAAAGACAGGGTGCCTCAGGGACAGTTTGCCCACTTTTGGTTATGTTATTAAAGATTTTTTCTTAGTCTCTGCAGATTTATTCTCAGATCAATTCTAAATAACTTCAAGTTACATGCTCAGCTTCCTTCCTTAGAAATGCTTCAACAGTGTAAATATAGTTCTAGCAGTCTAACCACATAACCTAATTCCACTATCAGAAAAACAATTTGGAATGGGATTTTTACCAAATCCAAGTGCTGTGGTTATTCTCTGCTGACAAGCATCTGAGTATTGCTTTCTTGCACTTGGTCCATTCAGCTATCTCTCTCCTTTAATTTTACTCTTAAGATTCGCTATTTGCATGAAGCCTCCTGTGACAACCAAGAGCCAAAGATAACTCAAAAGCATAATGAGGCTTGGTGCCCATAGCACAGCGGTTACAGAACCAGCCACATACACCAAGACTGGCAGGTTCTAACCCGGCCTGGGCCAGTTAAACAGCAATGACAACTGACACAAAAAATAGCTGGGTGTTGTGGTGGGCACCTGTAGTCCCAGCTACTTGGGAGGCTGAGGCAAGAGAATTGCTTAAGCTCAAGATTTGGAGGGTGCTGTGAGCTGTGATGCCATAGCACATAATGAGACTTTGTCTCCAAAAAAAAAAAAAAAAGCTTACTGGCTTGTCTGTTAAGATAAAGTGATTTTTTCCAGTTTGTAACCTTCTTTTTTTCTTTTTTTAATTTTTTTTTGGCTGAGGCTGGGTTTGAACCTGCCACCTCCAGCATAGGGGGCCGGCGCCTTATCCTTTTGAGCCACAGGCATGACCCTTGTAACCTTCTTATTACATTTTTTTTTACTATACTTATTTATTAAGCTGATTTTTAATTGCCTCGTCTTCAGTTTTATTTCTCAAATTAAATTCCCTGTTGCTAGCAGCAATGCCTACCAAGGATATATGAAAGTTACAGTGTTTAAGGCCACGCGAGCTGCTACTTGGGCTGAATGTTAATTGCTTGCTGAAAAAAAAAACAGAACTATTGACATTTTTTGAAAAGAAGTTTAATCACATCCACACATATATTTACATGTATCCGATCGCATGGTTTCTCTCCTGAGCCCTCCATACCATTTTATATTTCATTTAATAGAATGATCTCTCCTTTCATTTAATAGAATGACCTCTGATATACACATATGATAGTAACAACCTGAATGAAAATAAAACTCGGCTGCAATTTTAACTTACTACTCCCATTTGCATTCAGACCTCACTGCTCTAGCAATCAAATCCTGAATACATTTCCTCCTGACATTTCGCTTTCTCATGCAGGCAGGGTAAAAGGCCATTCTAAGACAAAATGATCAGAAAACCGATAATGTCACGCACATAGCAACATTCTCTGCTTCTAGATCGCTGCACTGGAAAACAAAGAAATAAACCCAAACCCCGAACAGATGAAATAACAACTGCCATTCAAGTAAACACCAATTAAATCCATGCCGTATTCTACGGGGTGATGGCGGTATTGAGTTGTAGAGACCTTCTCCTTAACCAGTTGGTTCACCCACCACTACCTACCTAACTTAGGAAAACAAATCCATTCAAAACAGAGTTCTTATATGAAAGCCATCCTGGGACTTCACATTTTTAAAAAGCAAATGTTGATGCATTTTTCCCCCCTATGCTACTCCCATATCAGGCTTCAGCATGAGTAGTAACCCACTGCCTAAATATAGCAGATATTACACATTTTCATTTATATAGTTTGTATTCATGGCTTTCAGGGAAAACCTATGTGAGTGTGAATTTCACTCTTTTCATTCATTCTTCCTGTCTGTCCTATTGCTCTTTCAATGAACTTGGTGACTTTACTCAAAAACAACTTAAATATTAAAAAGTTTAGCTTTTATATAATAATACAAATAACAGGGTCTAAAAACTTGACACTGATACAGACTGGGTCTGTAGAAAGCATTGTGAGAGCTTCATTGGTCTTTGTTCTGTTGCCCCACAGCCCCCTAGTGTGCTTATGGAATCTGGTCTTTCTCGGACTGCCAACTAGCTCTACTTCACTCTTTCATGACCCTGGAGTCCTCTCCTACAGGCCCTTCAGGGAGGAAGGGGAGCTGGATTGCCATCACTTGACCCTCCCCTACCTCTGGCTCCTGCTACTGCCCTCCTCAGAACCCATCTGGTAGCTGGGATGAGGAGTTGAAGGCAGGTGCTTCTACCTTCACATGGCAACATCATCCTCATTGTGGAGAAGAAGAACGAGAATGAGACTTGAGTTGTTACTGAGAGCATTTGATTCCTGCTGAAGACTAATGTTTTTAAAATACTGCTCTCTCTCTCATTTACTCTTGAAAATCCTTCTTTTAAAATCAATCTGTATTAGTATTCAGTTTTTAATCTCTTAAAAAATTAAACTCAATTTTTCCCTTATTTTTTGTTGTATATTCATGGGGTACACTAATTTTGTTATACTAAGATACTGCATTATGGTGCATCAGGGCCTTCAGTGTGTCCGTCACTGAAGCCATTGCATTGTACCCACCAAGTGTCTCCCATCACCACCATCTCCCAACCCTTCCACCCCTCCAAGTCTCCATAGTTCCACACTTTGCTTCCAAGTGTCTGTTCTCTTTAGCTCTCATTTCTGAGGGAGAACATGTGGTTTTTGTCTTTCTGTGTCTGAGTTGTTTTGCTTAAGATAATGGCCTCTAGTTCATCCACGTTGTTGCAAAAGACATGAGTTCATTCTTTTTTGCAGGTAAGAGATATTCCATTGTGTATATACACGTGCTATAAATAGCTATATCTATATGCCTATAAATATATATACGTATAGGTATATTTCACATTTCCTTTACTCAGTCTTCCACTGATAGGCCTTAGATAGATTCTCCATCTTTACTATTGTTAAGAGTGTTATGACAAATGTATGAGTAGAGGTATCTTTCTTATATATTGATTTATTTTCCTGTGGGTAAATACCCAGAGGTGCAATTTCTGGATCATATGTCAGTTCTATTTTTAGTTCCTTGAGAAATATCCGTATTATCTTCCATAGAGGTTGCACTAATTTATATCCCACCAACTGTGTTAAGAGTTCCCTTTTCTCCATATCCTTGACATCTGTTACTCTCTGTCTTTTTAATAATAATAGCCATTGTGATTGGTGTAAGATGATATCTTGTTGTGATTTTAATTTGCATTTCTCTGATGATTAGTGATATTCAAC